TTCCCTCTGGAATCTTAGCTTCTGCCTGTGGGAGCTGGGCCAGCCCTTTTTGCCTCTCTGCCCTTTCTACCTGTTTTAATGTAACTTATTCTGTAAATCCTTGGTTATAAGACTTCTCTTCAGCTAGTCTTCAGTTGGCTATTCAGGTTGATTGCTCTGTATTTTAGTTGTAATTCCTGTTTGGTTTTGGGAGCAGATGAGTGTAGCTTCTACCTACTCACTGCCATCTTGGATCTACTGTCTCACTAATGTTTGTATCTATATAATAAAAGCTTAAGCGACCATTACAGAGGAATGACCAGAACGACCGGTCGCTATGATGCACACTGACCACCAGGGGGGAGACGTTCAACGCAGGAGCTGCCCCCTGGTGGTCAGTGTGCTTTCACGGGGGAAGTGCTGCTCAGACAGAAGCCAGGCTCACAGCTGCTGAGCGCAGCGGCCGTGGTGGGAGCCTCTCCCGCCTCTGCAGCAGTGCTATGGAGAGCAAGCTGACTGGTCAGGAGCCTGCTGCTAAGGAGCAGCGAGCCAAGCGGTAAGGAGCGAGGGGTCCTGGACTGCGAGAGGGATGTCTGACTGCTGGCTTAGACCTGATCCCCCTAAACTGGCAGTCAGATATCCCCTCAGGGGTCCTGGACTGCGAGGAGAAGGAAAATTAATACCTGGGTGCATTAGAGGGAAACTACAAAAAAAAACAACAAAAACAAAGGCAGAGAACATCTTAAAAGTAGTCAGAAGAAAACCAGCAGGTGGACATCCCCCGAGGGTTCGAACTGTGAGAGGGTGCAGGCTGGGCTGAGGGACACTCTCCCCCCCCCCCCCCCCCCCCCCCAGTGCATGAATTTCGTGCACTGGGCCTCTAGTTTAAATATAATGGATAAAGTACTGAATATTTGCATAAAGTAATATTAGTTACAAATTTATGCCACATTACACAGATTTATATAATCCCTCTGCTTTGGTAAATTTACCATACTAGAAATTTGTGGTTTTGTGGTTTTGAGTTGTCAAGGGTTAATCTATGCATATTTGTGTTTGTTTTTTAAATTAAAAAGTTGCCATCCTGCTTCAACCTCATTTTCTGGTATTTTTTTCCCCTGTAGATTTTTTAAAAACAGAATTAATATGTAGAAGACTATGCTGGCTCTTCCCCTTTGCTCTTAACTATTTATTATAAGCAATACGAAATCAGCTATTACTTACCAGGCAAGTTTCAGGATGTTGTTTGTGCACACATGTATTCACCAATCTGTTCTTTGCACTGCCTATGTTTACCTTTGTTTTCTAGACTTGAATTGTCTTGCAAGTAATATTTTTTTTTTGTCTTTTAGCTTATTCTTTTTTTACCTTTGCTTTTTCACTCTTGTTGCAGGTCTTTAAAAAAGAACAACTGGCTATCTTATTAAATTTTTCTGTCATGTCACATTTCCTGTAAAAAGTGTATACCACTTGTTTTGTTGTTGTTCGTTTGTTTGTTTCTGCGACGTTTAGAAAGTATTTGCTAAAAATGTGTCTTATTGTCTTATTTTAAGTAGTCACTTAAAAATAAAAATGTTTAGCTTGATGATGGCCAGAGGGTAGGGGATGGTGAACTGGGTGAAAAAGGTGAGGAAATTAGGTAGTACAAATTGGTAGTTACAAAATAGTCACAGGGATGTGAAATGCAACATAGGGAATATAGTCAATAATACTATAATAACTATGTATGGTGTCATGTGGGCACTGGAAATATCGGGGGTTCATTTTGTAAATTATGATTGTTTAAGCTGTGGTGTACACCTGAAACTAATGGAAAATAATATTGAATGTAAACTGTAATTGAAAAATAAAATTAAACAAAGAAATATTTTTTTAATATATTTTATTGAGTTTTTACAGAGAGGAAGGGAGAGATATAGAGAGTCAGAAACATCGATGGGAGAGAAACATCGATTAGTTGCCTCCTGCACATCTCCTACTGGGGATGTGCCCGCAACCCAGGTACATGCCCTTGACCGGAACCGAACCCGGGACCCTACAGTCTGCAGGCCGACACTCTATCCACTGAGCCAAACCGGTTTCGGCAAGAAACATATTTTTAAAAGGAATTGTTAGCTTTATTAATAAGAGTGTAAATGATTGTTTTTTTTTAAAAAAAAATTTTTTTTCCAATCCTCATCTGAGGATATTTTTCTCATTAAATTTTAGAGAAAGCTTGGGGAAGGGAGTGGGGAAAAACAGAGTCAGAGGGAGAGAGAAACAGCAATGTAAGAGAGACACATCAATTGGATGCCTCCTGCACTCACCCTAACCTGGGCTAGAAATTGAACCCATGGCCCTTCTGTGCACAGGCCAACACTCTAACCACTGACCCACACATATCATTTTTTTGTTATTTAATAAGTTTATACCTATTCCTGATACAGCATAATTTTCAGGAAATTTCATTCTTAGAGTACGTGAAAAGTGAATTTCTCTTTAAACCAGTATTACAACTATATTACAAACAGTATTACATTTATAGATTTGACCATCTTACATATAAATTTCAGTCTTGAGCAACCTAGTTTCAGATAATTCAAGTTGGAAGTTTAACTTGAAGCTTTGGATTTAGTTTTTTACATATTGACTACCTAAGATCATAGGTATATCCATGAGGTAAAAAAGTGATAACAATTGTAGTAGGAAAGACTCAAGGTACAGTAAATAATTTAATTTCTATGTCCCATTCAAATATGAAAATTTAAGTTTGCTATGTATGGCAATCCATAAGGAAAAAACGGCTTTTATATGTCCACTGTATAGATTAAGTCATTTAGGCCTAGGGAGTTTATAAGACTTGAGAACCAGAATATAATGAGTTATTAAAAACTTAACGATTATTTTTTCCCTAAAATCCTACTATTCTGGCAGTCTTATTAATTGGCTTAGTCTATGTATTTTGGTGTATTTTTTATTTAATAACAGGGCTCTGTAAACTCATAGTTGTTATTCTATAACAGGATGTTAAACTTCCTAATAAAATGGCTGGTTTAAAAGTAAATAGAGGAAAGGAGGTTAACATCAATTGGTTACCTCGCATACTTGCCCAGACCAGGGATCAAACCCGCAACCTTTTGGTATAAGGGACACTGCTCCAACTAACTGAGCCACCCAGCTAGGGCAGAAACTCTTAAAACTTAAAATACTTCTAATAGACTTATTTTTATACTGCTTTTTTTAATGCTGTTTTTCTCTAGTTTGCTATAGAATAATTTTTCCCAGCCACAAGTATTTACTTAACTGATTAACTGCCACGATATTTTGAATTTCATTAAAAAAGATCCACCACTTGCATCTATAGATGCTTATGGCGTACAAATGGTTAAAACAAATAAGGTTTGTTACATTCAAGTAAAATAGCTCATGTGTCATGTTTAGCCAGATACACAGCAATGTATATTTTTCTTCTCCATGCTTGTTGCTGCTTTTATCCTATCTAATAATAGAGAAACATGGTAATTAATCATAACTTCGCTACCCTTCCCATTGGCTAATCAGTGAAATATGCAAATTAACTGCCAGCCAAGATGGCGGCTGGCAGCCAGGCAGCTGAAGCGAACATGAGCATGAGGCTTGCTTACTCCAGTGATGGAGGAAACCAACGCTCCCTGAGCTCCAGATGAAACAATGTTGCAATTATAGAACCTAAACAAACCCCAGAAACTTGCTTTCAGCCAGCAGCCTCAGAGCTTAGAGTGGCCAGTGATGGCAACAGAGTTTCAATTATAGAATCTAAACAAACCCAGGTACCTGCTTTCAGCCGGCAATGGCCTCAGAGCTGGAGCCTGTTCTCAGCTCCAGT